CTGTTGTAACCTTTTCTTGTAGAAGCATTTCTCCAGGCACTTGATTGTTTTCCTGCTTGGGCAGTGTGTGGAAATCTGACAGCCTGTCGCCATGTAGGCTCCGAGGACAGTTTGCTAGCTTCGCACTGGCACTGACTCACCACTGCACAAGCCAGCACAAGAACTTCTTTCACCAAGAAAGACCGTGGTTTATACAGTAAGGAAATGGGTGCTAGTTATGTGAGAACTGCGTAGCTTCCAGCTTCCTCAGGTCCAGCTGCCCATTGTTGGAGAAAACACCCCCTAGGCCGATACTGCCATACTTTGAAGCGGAACTGGGAGCCCTTGTGGTGTAGTGGTTCAGAGCGCAGGACTGGGACTCAGGTTCTAGTCCCTGCTCGGTCCCGGAGTCCATTGGGTGACTTTGAGCCAGTCGGAGACTCTCAGCCCAACCCACCTCACAGGCTTGTTGTTGTGGGGATAAGATTGAAAGCAGCAGGAGGAGAAGGATTTAGCTGCTTAGAGTTGGTAAGAAAACCAACAAAGGGATACAAATCTAATAAAACAAAGTGTTAAGCCCTTAGACTCTCCATGGCAGGGAAAAAAACCCCAACACACCCCAGTGCTATCAGATATGATGCTAACATTTTAAAAAGGGGGAAATCTTGGGACAACTTGAAGCTGCAAGTGCATAGGAGAAATATCTCAGCGGACCTGCTTTCAATCATAAGAGCAGAAGGGAGCGGGAAGTCTGCTGAGCTGAAATGACAATCAGTGTATCTCTTTCTACAATATCCCTTGTAGAAGGGATAGAATTAGGATGAATGCAGAGAGAGAGAGAGAGAGAGAGAGAGAGAGAGAGAGAGAGAGAGAGAGAGAGAGAGAGAGATGGATGTATGTATGTATGTATGTATGTATGTATGTATGTATGTATGTATGTATGTTCAGGGATATCAGAGAGTCAGGCTGCAAAGCAGGTTGTCTTCAGCTAAGTTTCAGTCCTTCCTTTTAAGATAAAAGTAAGATTCTGGTTCTCATGGTTCTGAATAGGGATGTGGCCCAGGAATCAGGGGGTTTTATTCATTCCTCAGGATCATTCCAGCCTAAATTGGAAGGCTTTATCACATCTATTTTATTTATTATATATTGAACATTTTGTATACTGTTGTAATAGCCTTTTGGCTCTCTGAATGGGTTACATAATAAAACATAACAATGCATAAAAACTACATAAATAAAGCACTTAAAGCATCAATACCTATATACAATAAAAGAATACAACATCCCTAGCACAACAGGGGCATTACATTTATATCGCACTTTTCTTCCTCTTGCATAGAACCAAAGATGGGTTACAATATTGTCCCCATGTCCATTTTATCCTCACAACAACAACCTTGTGAAGTGGGCTAGACTGAGAGTGAGTGACTGCCCCAAAGTCATCAGTCAACTTCATGGTTAAGTAGGAGCTCACACCTGGATCATCCACTAGGATCTTCCAACATTCTGGCCACTAGACCACACTGCTCCTTGAAGCAGGCCTGGGGAAGACGCCTACCCAAGATCCCCAAAGATGCTACCAATCCAGATAAGCAGTAAGAGGTCCAAAAGACCCATGAGGTCTCTCAGCTTCCTTTGCCCCTTTTGCTTGCTTTGATGCACAATTTGCACATGTGAAATTTACCATCATAAGTTAGGAGACATTTTCCTGGATGCATCCAGTATAATCTGTCGCAGCCAACACACAGCTGCTATCCGTGCATATTTACATGGTAGACTGGGGCCGGGGCAGGCTGGGTCGGGCAGCAGCCAAAGGTCCACACCACAGGCTTGTTGCTGCTCTTCTGCCTTGCAACCTACTTGCTTGCTTGCCTATTGCCTACCTTTCCGCCTGCCTGTCAGCAATCCCAGGAAATTTTGGAGCTGAACCACAAAGTGAAAATGTTTCAGAGAGGTCCATGTCATGGTTGACTATAGGTCCATCTGCTGCCACCTTCTCTTACATGGTTGGGGCAGAAGAGCAAATTGGGGGTCCACATTGGCAGGTCAAGTTTTTTGCGGGGAAAACTTTCCACTGGGAATTAGCTATCCCCACCCCATACCCCCAGGAGAAGTTGGATAATTCCTGAGTTAATTTTGAGCAGGATAGATCCCAAACTTCACTTGTGATGGGAAAACTTTCAGGCTCAGACACCAGAGCACTGTTTCTCCTCCCCAACCCTACATTGGTGATGGGAATTATATTCCAACACATGTGAAAGGAGGTCTGGTTGGGGGAGGCTGGGGGTAGATCATAGTTGGCTAGATAGACCCACTCAGTAGAAAGCAGAGATACTTATATGCTTATGGGGTCAGCCCCCATCTCAGGGGTGAAGGATAAGATGGGATTAGATGATAAGGTCTTCCTGAGAAGGAGTAGCTGAGAGCCACAGAAAAGCACTTGGTTAAAGCTTGGCTTGCCATTATTCCAGTTTAAATCAATCCCTTATTCACAACCATAAGGAGTAGAATTCTTTATTTTTCAGAGACGACCCACAAGTTTGTGGTGAAGTTTTACAGAACTTCTCCAGCTCAGTCACTGGGAGCTTTGGTTTAAGGGGCCGATTTGGTGAGGAATGTGTGGGAATTAGCGCCAAGAGAGAGGTGGACCTCTTCAGGAGGAATATTGAGTTCTGCTGAGAGTAGCTGCCATTTAAGCCTCATGTAATCATGGAAAGAGATTAAGGAATGGCTGAAAGAGACTAAATTAGAGGGGGGCAGATAATAGAGGTCTTACAAACCGGTAGGAAGTGATTTGGGATGTTTAGAAGCTATTATCAAATCATGTAAGCTTCTATGTGCTTTAGGAGAAACAAGATTATTGTCCCTGTTCTTTTTAATAACACTGTGAGGCGGAGGAAGAGGAGGAAGGCTTAATCCCAAGGGGGAACTACTAAACCTTGTGCAGCAAAAAGAATCGTGGGATGCAGCTGTTAGAGGAACTCCCTTGCCCCAAGAGGAGACCCAGACTGGTTTTCATCCACTCCTAACTACAGCCTTCTTCACTGCATGCAAGCCCTCCACAGGTTTTGGACTACAATTCCCAGCATCCCTGACTGTTGCAAAAGCTGAAGATGCAAAGGTTCTCCAGATTCCTCAAAGTCCATCCCGTCTCATGGCCGTGTCAGTTTGTGGTGGCTTTTGTTTTGCTTTCCATGTGAAACTTTTTCCCACAGGTTATTCAAAATGAATGCCCCTTTTGTGCACATCTTTGAAATGTACACGTTCTTCTCGGACTAATTAAAGCACATCTGTGCTTGTTTCCAATGCATGCATTTTAATGCATATTTTTTAGAGGGATGTGTGCTGTAAACACATTTTGCACATGTGTGCATGCATGTGTGTGTGTGTGTGTGTGTGTGACTCACCCTCAGGCTCAGAAATATGCGGGGCTTCAACCAATATGCGTGACACCAAATGGAAACTTGCTCTCCCTACCATTGGCTATGCTGGTGGGAGCCGATGGGAACTGCGATCCAAACCAACTAGTGTGTCCCACCTTCGGAAGGTCAAAAAGACCATTTGGTCATAAATGGCCATTTTTCACCTCAGAACACATTTTTTCTTTGCTTTGTTTCTCTTTTCTGTTTCCTTCTCTGGATCCAAGCAGAAATCAGTTATTCCATCCATGTTTTCTAAGAGGCTTCAGTCCATCTTGCTGCATTACTGAAACCACGTTGATTGTTTTACTATCTCAAGGAATAACACTGTGTACTTTTGTAGATTACACCATGTTGTTACTTAAAGTTAATTCCTGTGTAGTCATGATTTTGGTGTTCTTAATATTCCACTGCTATCCTTCTTTTGTCTTCTTTCATTTCCAGCAAGAATCTTTTCAAGTCACTTCTGCATTCTGTCAGTAAGTAATAAGGTATCCTTGACATAGCTTAATTCTCTATAAAAATGTCCCCTATTATGGTGGTTCAGAGTATGGATCTTTACATAGTTAAATGGATACCAATCAGAGATGATATCAAGCTTGTACGAACCCTAGGGTTTGCATGATTAAAAAGGAAAATGGGGGAGTCCTCTCCCCAAACTCACCCTAGAGGACTCGACAAAATCCAAGACTATAGGATTATTTACTGGTAGACTCTTGCTGTGTCAGAGAGTTGGAAACCAGGGTGAAAGGGGTGATGAAGGGGGCATTATGGCTAATTGGGTGAGAAAAAATTAAACAGAAGAAATGGCACCTGGCATTCTGATCTTGTGGGACATCTGCTTTGTGTGTCCTTTAACCTCTATACTAAGGGTTAATTTTGTATTAAAGAGACTGACTTGATAAACAACATTCATGGGTGTAACAAGGGTTATTGAAATACATGCTGTCAGAACCCATCCACACAATTTGTTACCCATAAACAACCCATACCATAACAAATCATGGATAGCTTATGATTAATAAGCCACACTTTGTTAGCATGACTGGGTTCTGATAATGCTATAACCCACATTCAGACCAACCCATACTTGAAATTTGAGTGTGAGGTAGCTTATTGTCTGAACCCAGCCAATGAGAAAAAAACAAAGGCTAATCGCCTTAAAAAAAGAATCCAATAAACAAAAACGGAAATACTTCAGAGTGTATGTGAAATTAATTAAAGCTAACAAGTGGGGGCGGGACTACAGCAGAATGCAGGCTGTAGCTTTATTTTTTTAAATTGATAAACTCGCTATCCACATTAGAGACTAAACCTTTAGGCGAAAGTGTCCCTTCTACATTTTCCTGTATTTATAGCGGCCCCCATGCATTGCGTCAGAAAATGTTTCGAGTGCATGCGCGGCTGGCGTCGCTCCTGATCCCTCCGTCGACCTCAAGGCAGAGGGAAGATACCTCACATTTTTCTCGAATACGCATGCGCTGCGACCGACCTTTGTCCCACTCCCAACCTGCTTGTTCGCTCGGCGCAGGCGCATAGCTTTCCTCCATTTCCCCCCCCTCCGGGGGGGTGGTCCTGTCGGGCGCCTGCGCACTGAAACCCACGGCCGCCATTTTGTGCCTTAGCAGAAGAGGCGCGCGCGCTGGGCAGTTTTTTTTAAAATAAAATTGATTTAATTATTGTTTTAACTGGGTGCAGTATAAATTATTTTAACAAGCGGGCGGAAGTCCCCTTCCGTAGCTGCATGGCGGCAGAAAACCAGGCTGGGCTCGCCGCTGAGGCGGCGATTTCCTTCAGCGGAGGTGGTCCGGATGGTTTCAGAAGTGGCCTCGGTGGCGGGACAATGCGGCGTCTCAGTGACTTACGAGTGATCGACCTCCGCGCCGAACTGAAGCGCCGCAATCTGGACACAGGCGGCAACAAGAGCGTCCTCCTCGAACGGCTGAGGAAGGTAAACGAATGCAGGGGACGGGAGCGGTTCGGGAAGGGTTAAATTCTCTGCGCATGTGCCGCCGCCGGTGTTTCTCGGTTCATAGATTCCAACACCCCAAGACCTCTTTCTGCAGCTGCTCTTTCCGGGTTCACTGTGACACTTCTGGGGTGCTGAGGTTGCTTTTCTCGTGCTGGAGCGTCCATATTGCAATTCCCAGCGTGCCTACTCCGGGTCTTTTTGCTGTCTCAGTTTGCATACAATTATATCTTAAAGAATAGTGGAATTGTCCTGCTCGATCACAGTCAGGATCCATTTATCCAGTATATTATTCAGGATTCATTTATCCAGCTATTGTTCACACAGAGGACACGATACCTACTCATTGAAACAAACGGGACATTCGCACAAGAACGCCTTCTCATTCATGTTCCCAGTAGTTGGAATGCAGAAGCATGCTACTTCTGATGTTGGAGGTCGCCTAGAGCCATGAGGACTAGTAGTCTTTGACAGCCTTCTTCATGGATATGTTGAATCCCATTTCAAAGTATCCAAACGGGTGACTGTGCCTACCTCCCATCCCTAAGAAACACTTTTCACACTTAAAACCTAAGAAAGTCAAAGGAGCTCTGCTGAATCAGACCCAGGCCAGCATTCTGCTCACTATCTCTTAGCCTTGTGGGAGACAGCAGCACAGTGTGAGTGGGGAATGCTGGGATAAGTGGGACTTTTTTCCTGCCTTGCTTGCCTGCAATTGTGCCTGGAGTAATTTAAAGTGTGGTGCATCTTAATGTTTGCTACTGAGTGCTTGTTTGGTGCTGGGAAGAACTTATGAGTGAGCCAATTTTGGTGCTTTGTTCCCTGGGTGTTGTTTGTGCTGGATTTCTTTGGTCAGAACTCAGATCTGCCTCCATTCTACATTTAACCAACAACGTTATCAATGGGAAACCTCACTGGGCAGTTCTAAGCATCTCTTGTTAATCTCCTCTCTTTTGGTTTGCAATGTAAAATTACAGTTACAGTCTGTATTAGCATCAGTAGGATAATGTGTAAAATCCAGGAGCCGTATTTTGTTCTTGAAATGAGACCTGATTCAGGAAAAAATAGAACTTTGGCTATTGGATAGTATAGAAGCATAATATATCAGCCATGAATAATTGCAATAATATTTGCACATAGCTTTTAAGGGCTGTGAAAGAATTTTCCATATTATCCCCCAGCATCTCTTAAAACACAGGAAGGTTGGTTTTGTGAACAGGAAATAGCCCTGAAGGTTTTTTGCTCTATAATTGTTGGCACAGGCCACATTGTTTGACACCCTTCTAAATGGGTGCTGCTGCTGCTGCTGTTGGTTTGGAGTGTAATGTTTTTGAATTCCACCATACAGCTTTGGCTGTTAGGCAGTATAGGAAAAAATAGTAAGTACAAATGCATTTTTAAAAGCCTGATAATTTTATTTCCTAGAATATTTCCTGCAAAATGCAATGATGCTTTATTTATAAATACCAACTTTGTGTTTTTTAAACAGGCTATTGAGGATGAAGGAGGAAATCCTGATGAAATTCCAGTGCCATCAGAAACAGCCCCCAAGAGAGTGCCCAAGAGAAGTAGCAAAGGTATGTAAAATAATACAGGAGGATTTCCACTGTTAAGTGAGAAATTGAGTTTACCTGCAAAAATTGAAAGTGTAGTGTATTCACACAATCCTTCTGGTAATACAGGTTGCCTGAAAAATAGCATGTTTACTCAGGAATTCACACACCAGACAAAGTTGATTTTGCTGTGCTGTTTGTTTCTTGGTGTTCCAGCAGATGTGGCTATAGATTGATCCAAATGCATCTATGTTGAGAAGAAAATCCTACAATGCTCAGCAGGACATACTCTCTAGAGAATATAGGTGGGATTGCAGCTTGAAGCCCAGGTCTCACAAGTGACAGATGGGGAGGCAAACATGTACTGGGGCCTCAGAACTATGGGTGGATCTGTTATACAAATCCCTGCATGAGGAAGGCTGTTCTAAAAGCTTTGCACCATATTTCCTTCACAGAGTTGTGAAATTAATATTTTGTAAAAAGTTTCTACTGACATTCTAGGAGGCTGGTATAAGATGCACTGGCTAAAGACTCTCCCAGAGAAGGAAGGTTTAACTGACAACCAGGGCAAAATGTTATAATGGCCATGTGTTTTGTTAGGGAGACACTGGTACCAAAGGTACAGGAGGGCCAAAGAGGCTCCAGGAATGCCAAAGGGAGCCAAGTGGGTGACTTTGGGCCAGTCACAGACTCTCAGCCCAACCTACCTCACAGGGTTGTTGTTGTGGGGATAAGATGGAGGAGGACAATGATGTAAGCTGCCTTGAGCCTTTGTAGGAAAAAGGCAGGATATAAATTGAAAAATAAATAAAAATAAATAAATACTGTTAAATTATATCCAAGGAGAGAGGAATTCATATTCGCAAGGACAGGACGGGATTGGAGGACAATAAGAGCAAATTATCTTCACCTGGAATTGTCCATGTGCTATCACTCCATAAGCTATCTGGTTGACTGGGGAATAAAAAGTCAGCCCACAGGAGCTCCATGTACCTCTTTGAGGAGAGGTTTCATTCTCGCGGCCGGAGGCGCTGACGAAGAATGCTGTGCTGCATTGTGTGTTTGATTGCTATGATGACTGCTTTAGTGTTTGTGTGTTTAGCTAGGCTAGGTAAAGCTTTGTTTTTGTGTCTGAGGAGACCAACTGGGTTTGGGGGCTTTGACTGGCTGTGAAGTGTGCCAGTGCCCCTCTCCAGTTCCTCCTTTCCTTCACCTCCCTCTTTTGTGTATTTGGTGTCTTGTTTGTTTTAGTACTCTCCACCCCTATCTTTTAACCTCTTAATAAATTCTTTTTTCCCCAGTGCTTGCACTGTCATGTGCTGAATCCAGAGTCAGGTCTGGGGTTTGGGATCAGGGAGAGTCTGGGTGGATTTTAAAGCCCAGCTGGTGGTGGAAGTGGGGAGTGTGGGGCAGCTGTCTGCTGCAGCTGGTGAAAGTATACTGGACTATTAGTTGTGAGAACCAGCCTTTATTTCTGGTTCTGAAACCTGAAACTATTCATATTTTAATTTGCTTAGTAGGATCATCCTGTCTTGTAAAGGCTCATAATTTGTATATTGTAATCGAAATATTTCAGGTATTTATTCAACACGTTTGTATTCTGCAGTTCAGTCATAAGACTACTGAGAGCACCTTACAGGAAATAAGAATCAGGCATTCCCTACCTTTGGGCTCACAATCTAAAAAGGCATTGGGGGGAGGGGAAATGAAACACCTGATGGGGATGCTTGACTCATTTGCATAGGTGGCTGGCGATGTACTTGTTGAATTTAGCTCTTATTCTCCTTGCCTGGCCTGTTCCTCTTTCTTTTCTTAAGTTTTTCTTCTTTTGTCCTTAAGTTTAATCTATATGTTCTCCCTTCTCTTCCGGGTAAGATGCTTCCTCAGATGCAGTTTCTCTGGCAGCTGGGAAGGGAGAAACCATCCCAGGTCCTCAGATTGGGCCAGCTGCTTTTCCTGTTCAGGGCAAGATGATCCTTAAAGCCCTGAGGAGACCAGAGAGGTCCCTCCCTTTAAGAAGGCTGCGCAAGCAGTTTACAGAGATCCATAATAAGTCGATTCTTGCCTGGAGGTTTATGGTGTGAGTCTTTAACACTCTCATTTTTTTAGGGCGTAGACCAGAGGAAGAAGGAGTTGAAGACAATGGACTTGAGGATGACTCTGGAGAGGGGCAGGTATGTCTAACTGCACTTGCAGCTGCAACATAACAGTTCTGAGTTGAAGTTCAGGCAACTATCATATCTGGCTTTTTCTCTTTCTGCAGGAGGATATTGAAACAAGTTTGGATAACTTGCAGGATATTGACATGATGGATATTAGTGTGTTAGATGAAGCTGACATAGATAACGGCAGTGGTACTGAGAGTAGACTGGGCTCCCTCTCTGATAGCAAAAGAAATGCTGGTGCAGAAAGGAGAGACCTTCCAGAACAGCTTGCAGGATGTCCCGTAGGTAACATGGAGACACCTCCACCCTTGTCAGATATTAAAGAAGAACCAAGAGAAATACTAGTTGCCATGGTATGCATCTCTTAAAATGTGCAGAATCAGCTCCATAATCACCATTGTGTTATTTTATTCAAATAAAGATAGCAGTAATAATCTGGGTATCTACTTATAACCCCCATTAAACCCATGCTTTTTGGTGGCATTCTTGGCTAAAATCTGTAAGCTTTAAATGCATGTTTATAAATATTGTCCATAGTAATAAGAATTCAGAAAGAACTTTGAAATCAAAGTTGAACATATGTTTTTTCCATATGCATTTCCATTGCTCATTTTCCTCAGTGTTAGAGATGGGTGGTGTAGGTATGGAAGCCTGGGTTAATTGCAGCCCATTTAATGGCTTGATTAGATTTGCATATTTGTATAACCCTATTTTCTGCGTATTCAGCTGAAAGTTGGGGTAGTTTGAACCTATAAGGAAACGCCCAGGGGCCAGGTTAGGTACTCTGTATAGTGCAACTAATCAAAGTGAACTGATACCCATTTTATAATCTCAGTAAACAGAAATTCTCAGGTTTCAGCTATTTCAAGCTGCTGTTCTAAGCAAGCTGAAAAGTCATTTGTGAACTGATTCCAGAATAAAACTTAGAACTGGGATGCCACTTGCAAGGAACAAGTGTAACCTGTAAAGTGTTTGAATGCATGTGAGATCCTAGGTCAGGACAAGGCAAGTTTATTGAATGCGGAGTTGTATTTGGATGTGGGAGAGGTGGGCTTGAAGTCCCTCTTCTGCAGGTTTCCATCTTGGCCAATGAAGAGTGCTCTCCAGATGTCACTTTTGGAGCAGTGGGCAGTTTGCACATAATGCTGAGGCAGGGTGAAGAGCAGGTTTGGGTGAACAAGTGGATGTGCCAATTATGTTCTGAGGAACCCTGGAGTTTCTTGCAAGCTTTTCAAGGCTTCTCCTGGCTGAGACAGCAATGACACGTAACCTGCGTTAGGCCCCTTTGCAGCATATTTAGGGTATGTGGTAGATGCACCTGAGTTCCTTGCTAAATGGGTCGCTCTGGCTGGCTGTGCATGCTCCTTCGTGGCAGATGGGCTTTGGACCAGGCAACTTCCCTAGTCTGGGGTACGTGGGAGAGGAGAGTGTAGGTTTATGAAACCTCAACAAGTTTCGCTAACCACTCCTGGATGGGGAGAAGCCACCCAATTGTTGCAGAACATGAGCAGGAGGGTGCTGCAGTTCTGCTCATGTCCAGCTTTTGGCCAAACAGAATGCTAGATCTGATAAGCCTCGGGCCTGATCCAGCAGGGCTCTTCCCTCACCCAAGAGCATCCACAGGACTATTCCCTGAAGGCAGTAGGACGTTAAATGTGGCAAATTGTGCATCCCTTAGAAAAGAGAAGCTCTGTTTCTGTCTTGTCCCAACCATGCATACCCTGGGGGACTGGGTAATTTTTCTTGGCAGAATTAGTGTAAAGACTGCTTACTTCATCGAGGTAATGAACGAAGTAGGCTACATTTAATTGGGATAGAAGTAAATGATGCCAAAATTGTGTTGTCATCAATATTAGGAATATGATTACTTTGCTAATGTTACTTGTTGATTTTGCACTGTAATGAACATCCAGAGAGCATGTTGCTAACAATAGGTTGCTAAGGTATAGAGCACATGGAAGCAATGTTCTCTCTTTTTCATGCTCTCCCTGCACCACACACTGGGTATGGACATGGGAGAGCGATAGGGCAGCTGTGGCAAACCCATCCTGCACTTTCTCTCTCTCTCTTGAGTTCATCTCCCCTCCTATCAGCATGGTTAATTCTTGGCAGCTTCAAAGCATGGGACTTGTGGGAACCAGGCAGATGATAGACAGCTATTCTGGCAGTAGAGTTGATTGCCCATTGAGTTCCTTCAACCCATCTAGTTCTACTTTGTTGCTTCACTCAGTGAGTGTAAAAGCCAGTACTGAGTGGTGGGCTGGTGTACGCAGTGGAATAGGTTGTTCCACCAAGTAGGAAGGTGTTGTATGCAGGAATGATTGTGGGCATGATCTGCTGAGGCTGCAGTTGCCTGGTTTCCCCTGGTGTGTTGACAGAAGGCAGAACAAAGCGGTGTTTGCCTCACCAACCTCAACCTGGGGAAGGCAGGTTCCCTCCCTGCTTTTTGTCAGCACACTGGGGATTGAGACTGACACAACCTGGGTGCTTTGGGGGTTCTCCTGATTAAAGCAACCAGTTTTCGATCTCTTGTGTGTGCCATTTCGCAACCGATAGCTTGTATGCCAGTCATGCTCTCTTGTTGCATATGTAAAATGGGATCCAGCAGAAAGAAAAGGTGATGGAGAGAGAAGAGTAGGAAAACAGGTAAAGCTCTCCCAGGGGACAGAACCATTCACCATTGTAGCAACACCACCACCACACTCAAGAATTCCTGTTGATTTTCATCATTTTTTAATTTCCCCAGTTCCATTTATTGTGATTTTTGCAGTGCTAGCAAATACTTGTTGACTAGCAGCTAATTGTGTGTGTGTGTAGCAGGGGGTTAAGGGTTGCTGGATGAGGGGGTGCTAATGAGCAATTTTGCCTGTTTCTCCTTTGGAGTTAATTTTAGTAAAGGTATGTGGCTTTTTAGGAAGATTGACATTGTTGTTATTTCTCTTAGGCAGAGGGTGAAGATGCTGGTGACGTTCTCGATCGGGCATCCTCTGACTTTACACATTTGAAGGTAACACTGAAAAAGTGATGTGTCTGTTTAGAGCTTATCATTCAGGACAAGGCTCGATGTGGCTTTCTGGTTTGAGATCAACAGCAAAGAGCCTCCCTGTTTAAGCCTCAGTTGGTCCTAGTCCTCTTTTATCCTCTGTCCCACTTTGCACTAGGAAGCAGGTCATGAGGAATGGTAGAACTGGCAGAACTGAATTACCTCTTGTTAGCCATGCTCCGGTGCAGTTGTTACATTCAAGGTCTGGATAATTTCTCATCCAGTGGGTGCTTTGACTTCCATTTTTGGAGTGCCTGAGAATCTGGTAGAGTCATGGTTGTTTTAAATGAAACAAGAGGAATTTTTAATAACTTAGGTGTCAGAAATGAAATGGGAGCTTGTTTGTCTCTTGCTGTCGAGGATGTTTTCTGAATGGTGGATGGAATAATGGTCAAATTACCCAACTCAGTGTGCATTGTGGCATGTGCTTCTCACAGACCCATTTTAAAAATATTCATGCTTTTTTTTTCCTTTCTTTTAATAAGCACTAGTGGAAATTTCTGTCCAAATCAGGGTTATTTGTTGCTTGTTTTCCCAAATGAAGGGAAGCGAGCTGCTGTTCTGTCTGGTGTAACACTGGTCCTTTGTCTAGCGTTCTGAACCACTTGATGGGCATTTGCTGCAGTCATGAACTTCTGCGCAGCATTTCTCTGACTGACTCAAGTCTTGGGAAGGGCCTAACATTTTTGCATTGGTTGGAGATTGAAAGAATGAGGCAAACGCCGCCCAGAGGCTGGTGGTCCTCCTTACAGTTGTGAGGAATAAGAGCTGGGCAGGAGAGGCAAACACAAGAAGTGAAGCAGGGCTCTTGGGGGCAAAGGGCTTGATCTCCCTGTGGCAAAGGCCAGAGGGTGCCTTCCTCTAATTTTGCTGCCCTGCAGGGATGGGCACTTTTCCAAGAGGGAGGATGCAGCTAGCCCCCATCAGCTGTGCCGCCCTTGCTGGATGAGGGGGCTGGTTGGGCTTTCCCCTTACTACCCTTACCTTGGGAAGCAAGGGAGACAGCGCATCACTGCTGCTGCTTTCTCCTACAAAACGGCTGGAGAATGTCCCATGCATCCTTCTGACTGCTCTCTTGCTTTTGTTCTCTGCTTGTCACATGAAGTGTTATAACATTGTTTTCTTGTTTGTTTTAATAGGAACTTGAAGAGTTTCCCTTGGAATCAGGTACTGTTCCTTAAAAACATGCTGCGCCTCACGCGTCTGTTCTGAACTTTCCACATGGTTTTATTCCATTAATATCTATAATTCAATACTCTGACTGGTATGCAAACCAGTTCAGAGGGAAAAAGCCACAGAGATTGGAAATCTGGTCATATCACCAGATCTGTAAGAGCACCCTCTATTCTTATTTTACAAGATCAGTCTCTTGAGAATGAGTGACTTGCTTTAAATCCCTTAAATGGGGAGCAAACAAAACCCCACAAGCAGCAGCCCTGTGTGCAGAGCAGATCTTGTGATAGTATGCACTGCCTTTGCACTGTAACTTTGACTAGAAGTGCAGTAGAGTATAAAAGTAGGGACCCAAAACAAAAGTGGATACGTGAAGACAGAAGATGGGCTGGTCATGGAAATTCATTCCACTTTGCCTTCTGCACGACAAATGCATTCCGATTCCATCTGAAGTTGTTCCAGTGTTCTCATGTGGACTAGTCAGTAAAATCTGGAAGCTGAACTGTGACAAAGAATTGATACAGTCTGTATAAGCATCCTGGACTTTGGAAGCTAGTTTCTGGAAGAATGAAAAAGCTGTGCGACTGTGTGAAGACAGCCAAGGAAAAAGCTGGGAATGCCATGATAAAGGTTTTTCTTCCTTCTCTCTTTCAGGCAGTGCTCTGGTAGCCATGTTAGACTGCAATGAGTTGTAGGCGTTTGAATGTGATGTACCCGAGGGTTTTCCAATCTCTGTGTAGCCTTAGCCGTTCTCTCAGTGTTAGTCTGGCAGCCATGCCTGTCCCGCATTTGTCTTTGCTATGTTTCCCTGGTGATTAAACCTTGTGCCATTCTATTCCTGTTAAATCCATAGAAAATGAGAAAATGCTCGACATTTTGGGTGACACTTGTAAATCTGAGCCCCTTAAAGAAGACGCTTCTGAAGCGGAGCAGGCGCAGGAAGCGAATAACCCGTTGCCAGGCAAACAGGCAGCCGAGGAAGAAGAAGAAGACACGCTTGCCACCACTGCTCAGCCGGATGAAGACCTGTTAGAAATGGACAGCCAGTCAGGCCAGGTTTTGGCCAAGCACGAGGAGGAAGAAGAGGAGGAGGAGGAAGAGGAGGAGGAGGAAGAGGAGGAGGAAGAGGAGGAGGAGGAGGCGAAGCACTTAGTAATAGCAAAAGGGGAGCTGAGCGAACAGACAGATGAGGAAGCCAATCTGGACTCTGACTCTTTAGCGGTAGAGAACAGGAGTGGTGGAGGAGGAGGTGGAGGTGAGAGTAGCAGAGCAGCCCAAACTCTGGAAGCCAGTAGTGAGGAAACTGCGGAGACGGACACAGGTCCCCAAGTGGTTAGCCAAGATGCGGAGAAGATGGAAGCGAAGGCTAATTGTGAGGAAGAGTCCTCTGCCACTAGAGAGTCCTCTGCCAAAGAGGGCGGTGATCAGAACACGAGGTTTGTTTTTTCTCCGTTTTAGACCAGATGCTGTCTTTTTTTCTTCCCCATTGGTCGTTTATGAATGCAAATGCATTGTGATTCCTCAAATGACCCTGTTGAGGGCCTTAATGAGATTGTAGCTTATTATAGAAGCTTCTTTTAGTTGTCCTTGCACACTTTTTTGGTAGAAGATGTTTGTTTTTTTCCTTTCTTTCTGAAACAATTTATGTTATATGTCTCAATCTTCAAAGGTTGCATTCTTAACCTTTCTCCTGTAAGCAGTTAGTTCTGTTTTGGTCATCTCTGACCTCCCTGTTGAGGTTTGGAAAGCATTTCTCCCCGACTCCCTTACCCAGATGGTTAATTCTCCTTTCAGAAATGAGTGTCCTGGTAGGTATCTGATCATAGCACATGCAGTGTTGCCTGCTCTGTCTCCATATGGCCTCTTTCTGATTGAGTCACAGTCTATTCTTTTCTCTTTTCTTTTTCTGTCTTTAGCCCTAAGGAGGATGCAGAGGCTAAAACTGCTTTGAAGGATGAGAAGGGTAAGCTTTTACCAGTATGATGTTTTTTCCTGGCATGGCAGCATTCAGTTTTCTTCTGACTTCAGTGAACTTCCTGGAAAAACAATGGCCTTTTTTCTCCCAGAGCATTTCCCCCAGTCCTTCTGCTTCCCCACCCTGCAGTGTTTTCTCCTGGTTTGGCAATGCGGCCTGGAGCTGATAAGACTTGGTGGCCAAAATGTACGCAGGGCAGCATGTTGGGAAGGCTAGACTAAGAGAAAGCATGATTGGTTTGTGTCTCGCACTAAAGCCCATGGCTGCTTGAGGGTTTGAGACCCAGTCAGTCCATTGTAGATGCACCATCACGTTGCTTGATAGAGCAACAGTTGGAATTGGAGGTGAAGTGCTCCTTTCAGTGCCCCTTCTATGCTGGAGCATCTTGTCTGCAACCTGAAGAGACAAGTGCCTGTTGGCCACTATTCTTTAGTAAGGCAAAGGCACACTTCATGTGCTCCAAAACACATTTGTTTGTTCTCTTCAAAAGTGGTTATATGTACAAGGAATTAAATGGGGATGAAAAGGAGGCTGCGATCTCACTTTGACACAAGAAGCTAGTCACGTATTGTGAATAAAAAAAGCCTGCTATAATTATGGGGTAAGGTTTGGGGAGTGTGCTGTTATTGGCATTATAGTTACATCCCAGCACTCTTCCCAGAAGTTGAAGTCTGTCCCGATCACATCCCATTTTATCTTCACAGCAATCCTGTGTCAACAGGGCAAGAGAATGTGTCTGTGAATGTTTTAAGGTCCCCCAGCAAGCTCTGTAGTCAGAGATCTGAACTTCAGCCCCACCAGTCTCAAGTCTCAAATTCTTTAACTGTTACACCACAGAAACAACAGAGTTTTGTAGCACCTTCAAGGTGAACAAATTTACTTGGGCAAAAGCTTTTGTGGGTACTGTCCACTCCATCAGATGCTTGGAAGTTTATGCCATAATAAATTTGCTAATTTTAATTTGGCGCATGACTTTTTTTTATCCCTCTGTCCCCGAGATGAAATAATCTTGGCTCTTATGTCCAAAACCAACTGTCTGTTGCTGTGTTACAGACTTCCTGCATGGCACCTCCAATCCTGCATGCCATCTAAAATTACTTATTAATCTATTAATTTATATGCTGCTATATTAGCCCACGCTTTGGCTCTCTGAGTGGCTTATAAAAAAACAGCCTACCTTTCAAGAAGCCCTTAATCATGCATCACTTTCAGGTTTGCTTGCTTTTTTCCTTGCTTTCTCTCCCCACTTTCCATCTCAGATGTCAAAATATTTAACTCTTCTCTCCACTGTAACACTGATGTAGGTCGCTCCAGTGATAGCCCTGGCAGGAACCTGTGGGTTAGTGGTCTTTCCTCTTCAACCAGAGCAACAGATCTGAAGAATCTGTTCAGTAAATATGGAAAGGTACAGCTATCAAAACCTATAAACCTGTTGCTTGTAAGGATTCAGTTTTGTCTCAAGTTTAACTGGATCACCATTCTTCTTGCTGTCTCTTTCTTCTTCATCTTCCTGAATATCAGCAGTCTCTCTCCAAATTAGTCTGAACCACATGGGCAGAATCGGCTCCTTCAAGCCAGGTGCTACGACTGGCTCTGTAGGAACATCATGCTGCAGCGCAGGAGAGTTCCTTCCTGTGTCTCCATGCAGTTGTCATTGGGTCCAGGGACTCTGCTGCCATCATTCTTGAGTGCTCATGCTGGTGCAAGCACTCCCTCAGTTTCTCCTGGAAATTGTTTTCCCCTGCAGTTTCCACTCCTCTTTCTCTGTAGCCCTCTACGCCACACCAAAATTCTCTCTGGAGGGTTTCCTGGCCCCTTGGAGCAGGTGTTGGGGTGAAACATAGAAACAGATTGAGTCGGAAGGGGTCTCCCGGGCCATCTAGTCTGACCCCCGGCTCCAGCCGACTCTGCTTACGACATGCCCACTGTGTGGATGTCCATGGGTGGGAATGCTTCCGCTCATGAAACACTTTCCATCAGTGGCAGAAGAGTTGTTTACAATCCTGTGAGTATCACCATAGCTTTTTAAAAGTTTTTTTAAGGTTTTTTAAAACATCATTTTGTAGTCTAATAATGTAATTGGGCACTCACTCATCTTCTAATATCATACAGTGCCAGCATTTTGATTAAGATGTGGATTTTAGAAGATGCCAGCCAGGCTCTGTTTTGTGGAATAGCTCCCTGTTTTATTTATCTTTGCTTTTGTTACTTCAGTAGATACTTCGTTTTCATTAGAAGCAAGATTTCCCTGCTTGCTTGCTTGCTTGCTTTCTTTCTTTATTTAGCGGACTGATACGCTGCCCATTTGCCTAAGCCTTGGGGCAGCTTACAAATAAATATCATTATTACAATAAAATACAATTGGAGACATCCTGGCCAAAGTTGTTAAAATCGATAAATAAAATCAACAATTAAAATACCGTTTAAATAAAAAGGTCTTGGCCTGGCGCCAAAAAGCAAATAACGACGGTGCCAGGCGGACCTCTCTGGGGAGCGCATTCCATAGATTGGGCGCCACCGCAGAGAAAGCCCTCCTCCAGGTACTCACCCTCCTAATATCCTTCACGGAGGGTTCCCAGAGAACGGCCTCTCCCACTGATCTCAAGGGGCGGGAGGGCATATATGGACGCAAGCGCTCCTTTAGGTAACCAGGACCCAAGCCGTTAAGGGCTTTATAGGTGATAACCAACACCTTGAATTGGGCCCGGACTTCAGTGGGGAGCCAGTGAAGCTGATGGAGGACTGGAGTTATGTGAGCACAACGCCCAGTCCCCGTCAGCAACCTGGCAGCTCTATATTGCACCAATTGAAGTATCCGGAGCGAATTCAAGGGCAGCCCCTCGTAGAGCACGTTATAGAAGTCTAGTCGGGAAGTTACCAATGCGTGTGTCACTGTCACTAGGCAGTCGTTCTCCAGGTAGGGACGCAGCCGGTGAATCAGCTGAAGCTGAAAGAAAGCACTCCTCACCACCGCTGTTACTTGAGCTTCCAGCAAAAGCTCTGGATCGAAGAGCACTCCCAAGCTGTGGACCTTGTCCTTCAGAGGGAGTGCAACCCCATTCAGGACAAGGTCAAAGTCCCCTTCCCCGAAACCCGAACCGCCTACCAACAAGACCTCCATCTTGACTGGATCGAGCTTCAGTTTATTGGCCCTCATCCAGCCTATTACCTCGGCCAGGCACCGGTTCAATACAGCCACTGCCTCACCTGTATTGGTTGAAAACGAGAGGTAGAGCTGGGTATCATCAGTGTACTGATGATTCCACAGCCCACACCTCCTGATGACCTCTCCCAGCCGTTTCATGTAGATGTTAAACAGCAAAGGGGACAAAATGGAGCCCTGTGGTACTCCATGGCATAGCTGCCATGGTGCAGAGCCATAGTCGCCCAGCACCACCATCTGGGGTCGGCCATTGAGATAGGAGTGGAACCACTGCAAAGCAGCGCCTCCAACCCCCAGTCTCACTAGCCTATCCAGAAGGATACCATGGTCGATGGTACTGAAAGCCGCTGAGAGGTCCAAGAGGACCAACAGGGACGCACTCCCCCTGTCTCTCTCCCTGTACAGGTCATCATACAGGGCAACCAAGGCAGATTCAGTACCATACCTGGTACATTAGTTTGCCCAGTGGTGATACATGTCCAACCCTCTGCTCTCTTTCACTCAGCATCTGGATTAACTCTCATGGCAAGCATTACATGGATTCTAAACTCAGGATATTCTTCTGCTACAGTAAACCCCAAGAGGAAAACAATTTAGCAGCAGAGCAAAGACATTTAAGTTAATTATCAAAGGACTTCCTACTGAAAAGTTTTGCCTTTATCTCAGTTTCTGCAACAGATGAAATACATTTGCCTTAGTTCAGAACTACATCCTGACAGATTTATGTAATATTTGCCAGATTAGTGCCTTCAGTTTTTAGTTCAGCAAAAATATACCTTCACCCTGCAAAATGTTTGGAGAAGATGGTCAAGTTGCTGAGAGCAGGCAATTATTTTTTGGAAGCTTTTACCACTCTATGTGCTTTTGACGTGTGGTGCAGGCTGGTTCCATTTTACTTCCCTTCCTCCTCTTCTCTCCCATTCTTCCTTCTATAAGGTGGTGGGTGCCAAAGTGGTGACAAATGCCCGCAGTCCTGGCGCTCGCTGTTATGGCTTCGTCACTATGTCATCTTCCGAGGAAGCAACCAAATGCATCAGCCACCTGCATAGAACAGAACTGCATGGGAAAATGATCTCTGTGGAAAAGGTAAGTTTCACAACCACATGTGATGTGGCAGAGACCCCCAGGAATCCTTGGCCAATGTTGGCCTAAGGCAGTGGTGGAGAAACATAGAAACATAGTAACAGCGAGTCAGAAGGACCCCCCGGGCCATCTAGTCTGACCTCCAGCACCAGCCGGCTCCGCTCATGACATGCCCACCATGTGTATGTCCAGCCTATCTTGCACTGATAGGGGCCTCAACAACCGCTCGTGGAAGCCCATTCCACAGTCTGGGGGTCCTGACTGTCAGGAAGTGCTTCCTGGCATCCAAGTGGAACCTTGGTTCCCTGAGCTTTGCTCCATTGGATCGTGTCCAAGGAGCGTGTCCAATTGGAGAAACCATGGCCTTCTCAATAATATTCAGCTCAGACTGCCTTTGGCCTACCCGGCATGGCCAGTATCAGGGATGATGGGAATTGTAGTACTGGCAGCATCTTTCAAGGCAAAGGTTGCACACTCCTATAGTCATGGTAAAGTGTTTTTGCACTGTATCCCTTTGTGCACATTTCAGTTACAAATTAAAAATGAAAATACACTCCTGGAAGAAGGTGCAGCTACCCTTTCATATCTTTAGAACATTCCTTTCTTGGGCATTCTGTCTCACTTCTTTTCTTTTGTGGAATATGTTCAAACATGCTGCTTAAGCCTCTGCCCCTACCCAATTTATTTATTTTATTCATTACATTTATTTACCAGCCCATAACTCAGAGGGCTCTCTGAGTGGCTTACAATACTATACAATAAGATAAACAGTATATTAATAGCAAATAATGATGCAGGACATAAAAAGTCTCCTGATTGCTCAGTCCTGCTGATGCTGAAATGCCAACTCCAAGCCATCTGTGTAATTCCAGGCCAAAAATGAACCTGCTGGGAAAAGGGCCATATCTGACAAGATACAAAACGAAGTAAAGAAAGAGAAGGACAGACGCCACTCAGCAGACTCTAGATCGGAAAGGTAAAGTTGTGGTAATTTCCGCAGTTCCCCATGTGTGTCAAGCATTAAGGTGAAAAGTGGCCTTTTGCCAGCTGTGAGCAGGGAGAGAAAATAATGCCCGTTTCCCACCTCTGCTTAATTCAGACAAACTGTGGTTTGACCGCAGTCTCAGTTCAGATGAGATGGCAAGCTGTGGTAACTTGAAAGGGTTAGCACCAAAAATCTCTACCAAAAGAGAAAAGTGCGCAGGACAGTCAGCCAGTGCTTCAGAATTACGTCCGGCCGCAGCCTTCTTTAAAGAGACTTTTGGAAGTTCTTACGCTTTTTCATATTACGGTTCACACAGTTATTTTAGCTGTGCCTTTAGTTTATGGTAGGTTTGAGCTGAGATGTGTGTGTGTGTCTGGCCATTTTGGGAAGTGCTCATCTTGTTCTTGTAGATCCCTGAGCCTTAAAAAGGAAGAAAAAGTAGACAAAAGGGATGATTCCAAGAAACTGGATGGAAAAGATGGTGCAGAAGAAAAAGCGGGGAAAGAAATGGAGGAGTCCAAGGTGGTATCCTCTGGACGCTCACGCTCTGTTAAATCTGGTAACTAAAACTGCTGTTACTTTTTTTCCTTTTAAGTGATACAAGCTTGGTGTGGGATGTGTGTGGGAGTTACACAAATCTTAGTGTTTCATAGAGGCTTTCCAAATGGCCACATCCCTTAGAAAGATATGGAAGGAGGTTCTCCACCCCTGTTTCAGCAGAGATCTCTCTCAAAATAATTGAAGACTTTTGGTAGAGGAAGCATGTGGTAAGGTCAGTTTAGGGAGTTGAATTAAAGCATTTGTGAAGATGCTTACACGAAGAGTAATTTGCAAGTTGCTCCATCCATTGCCAACTGTTGCCATACCATTATACCATTGAGAAGCCCTTGGAAGTTCCAAAAGCTCCAGAGAGAGACAATACTCCAGCCTGGCCTCATTTCAGATTTATTTATTTGGTTTTTTTAAAAAAAATCCTGTCCAATTATGTTGTATGTCTCTGGACGGCATAGTGTGTCTCTGAATTCAGTATGGTTGTGGTGTGTTTTCTTGGCCTCTGGCTTTTTCATTCACTCCAGCCATTCTAGTATGACTTAATGCAAACACCTAGTTCTTTTATTGGTTGTCCCTACTGGATGGAAAGGCTTGCTTGATGCTACAATTTATTGTTTGAATTATTATATTTCGTACTTGGAGTATTTGATTCTCTGTAAGTTGCCCAAAGAGTGTTGTTTGGTGGCCATGCAAACATAATCCTTAAAAACCCATTTTTTATCCTGATGCAGCAGAACGATCTTCCCTCAGAAAATATTCTTTGTTGTGTCTCTTTGTGAGTAACAGTTCTGGATTTGTTTCCATCCAGTCAAGAGGCATGTTCAGAACAGTGAGGCACACAGAAACACATTGCTGAGACTCGTCTGAGGCTGGGTAAATTCTGAAAGCAAACTTTTCAGGTCTGCCATTGAAGCATGCTCCCAATTTTGAAAGTGGGCTGATGCTCTTGGAGCTTTGAGAAATGGGGCTTTACATGCTGGGGCATCTCCGAGGAACACTCACTGGCTGTGTGTTTGCATTAAGAACAATCAGTTACTTCCTCTCCAGCTTCTGTCAAGTCTTAAGACTGAGAAAGGTGCCAATTTTGTGTCATAACATTTGAGCATTGCTGTATAAGAGCCTCAGAAATAGGCCTAGCTTGGGTTCTTTTTCCTTCCACTAAACAGTAGGATTGCTGACTTGTTGCTGCAAACAGGCATTTGAAGTGATTTGAAAGCTGAATTGGCCGTGGGCATTTTAAGAGAAACCTGCCTGATTTCTGCAGTGGTTGAGAGTGCAGGGGCTGCCTATTAAGTTACAGTTTTGTGTCAATGCAGCAAGCCGCGGAACTGAGCGGACTGTGGTCATGGACAAATCCAAGGGCGAGCCTGTTATTAGCGTGAAAACCACGACCACATCGAAAGAGAGAGTAAGCCTTTTGACCTTCAGTCTCTGAAACACAGTGGGGTGGAAAGTGGGGAAGTGCCACACTGCACCCTTGTGGCCCTGGTCTGCCAACAAGCGCAGCCTTGCCTTGGCGTCAGGTGCTGCTGCAGCTCTTGTATGTTGGTCTCTCAGGCGATGCAGCCAGCCCCTTGTGTGTGGCTTTCAGCTGAGAGGCCCTTGCCTGGCAGAGACTAGCTTTTCCGAGCGCATGTGTTCTCTCCCTGCATGCAAAACTAGGGTGAGGAACCTGCAGCCTTCCAGATGCTGGGCTGCAACACCCACCTCCCCTGCTTGTATATTCTGGCTGGGGCAAATGGGAGTTGGTGGCCAGCAACACTTGGACCGCCAGAGCATTGCCCTTTGGTTTACAGCTTTGAATGAAAGGAGCCTCTGTTTTCAGGCACCAGGCTAGATGAGCTGTTGGTCTCGCCTGCTGGGACCAGGCTTATGTTCCCAGATGCACCTTGAGGTCATGATGTGGGGCCTAAAATAGCCCTGGTGGTGGTGGGGAGGCTTGAACTGGGTTGCTGGAACACCTCTCCAGAAGCAAAGGTGGGAGCAAATCCTTGTACTCCTTGTCACTGCTGGAAGATGGGCTTAGAAGACTTATTCTGTTTCATAATTTCGCATCCCTATCACCTTCCTCCCTCACCTAACTTCAGAGCACAAAGAGCCACGATCGCAAATCTGAGAGCAAAGAGAAACAAGACATTCTATCTTTTGATAAAATCAAAGAGCAGCGTGAGCGAGAGCGGCAGAGACAACGAGAACGAGAAATTCGAGAGACGGAACGACGAAGGTGGGTTGAAACTCGCCATCCCATACCCCTCAGGCAGGATTTTGGTCTTCCAAAACTCTGATGGACAATCCCAGGCTCTGAAATTTCTTGCCCTTCCACCTAAGCAAGTGTCTAACAGTTCCCTTTTTTTTAGCAAAAAGCTATCTCCTGTTACGGATCTGTTGCGAAGTGCTGCAGTTACTGTGCTTGGCCTGTGCGATTAAGGAAGGTACTTAGAGATACCTCTCTCAGGCTGTGTAATATTAAGGAAAATATAGCTTCATTTGCTTCAGAAGGCTGGTCTGGGTTCTTGGAAGAATGCAGAGGCTTCATAAAGCATCACAGAGCTTGTGGCATAAAGCATCACGGAGCTCGCCCTGTCTTGAAGCAAGACATTCTGCATAGAAAATTGTGAACTCCCAGTTCCAAGGCCAGTCAGAGAAAGCATACATACAGCTGGAAGGGGTAGGAGCTCCTCTCCATCATGGCTCTGCCTTTCACAGGAAGTGCAGGCTGGATCAGTGGCTCTTCTGGTTCAGTTTCAGCATAGCAAATGTTCCTATCTTTTTCTGCACTCTCTCTTAGTTCTTTTTATTGTTGTTTGGGCTTATGGGTTATCAGAGAACTCAAACTGTCTTTTAGGGCCAGGTTCTCAGAAAGCAGTGTCCTCAGCATAAGTTTCTCAAGATACTTTAGATATGGTACTTCAAATGGTGCAATAAAGGAAAGGCAGCAGTAAACGCGTACATTTGCAGGGACCTCTTAGAGGCCTGTAGTGGAGGAGCCTGGCGTATGCTGGCTCAGGACAGTAGTTGTCTTCTGTCACCTAGGGAGGACACCAGCTTGGAGGGGCGGTATCCAGCAGGATCGATGTAAGCCTAAAAGTGGAGCAAGAAAGAAGTTGAAGGGCTGTCTTGTGTTACTGGGGTAGAACTAAAGTAGTTCTAAAGGCCACCTTCACCAGCCCAGGGCAAGTTGCTGCAGCAGACTACAACAATGGATTTCTCTCCCTCCCCACTGTTTGAAATATTCCTGCATTCCTGTAACAGCACTGTTGGCATTATCTGTTACACTGTTGTCACTTGCCTTGGCATGCTTCCGTGCTATCTGCTCAGTTTTAATGGGGCATGCTTAGGAGAGTTAAGTCTCCTGCGCATTTCCCTACCCTCCAACCATCCCATTGTTTCAAGTCCATATTTTAAAGAGCTTGTTATTATGCAGGAGTGCAGTCCTTTGTCTTCTTAACTACTTGCAGGTAGACCAGTTTGAAGATTTTCTCTTTGTGTTCTGCTGATTAAATGCTGCTGATGTAGCTTTTTGTCTTTCCTGAAAAATTCTCATTGCAGTATCTTCTCCAAAAGTCTTTCTACACTCCCTTCACCCATATATTCGCCCCAGCATTTTGCATTTTCATTTCTCTTGCCCTCCCACTCCCGTAATGTGTGTTTTCTTTGTCAAGACTTGCAAGCTGCACGCTGGAACTGCTCAAGTACAAAAGCTCTCAGGTTTTCTTTCTCCCTCTTCAGCAGTAGCAGCTTTCCAACTCTCAGTCTTCAGGGAGCCCTCTCTGCAGCTGCTCACCCGTCAAGCTGTTGTTCCCCACTCTGCTGCAGAGCATTCTGGAGAGGTGGTGGGCAGGTGTGGAGCCCATGGTGAAAGGGTGGCTTGGGGGCAGAGCGGGTTTCTTTTCTGTGGCCCCTGACCTGGAACTGCATGGCAGCTCCTTCAGCAGAGAGGTTGCACACCCCTGCCCTAGAGCCGAGCCAGCACCCTTGTGTAGACAGCACGGGTGCATGGGAAGTTGGGTTTCAGCGCGACAGGCTCATCACTTGGGGAAGTGTCTGCCCTTTGTCTGGTGCATTAAAGAGGTTCTGACTGGATTTGGAGAAGGCCCAAGGCATTGGGTACTGGCTCAGTCAGTGGCTGGGGGCGTTTGTGGAGGTCTGGAGATTTACTCTGTGTCTTTGACCCACACATGAGCCTTCAGTAGCCTGGTGCCCTCCAGATGCTTTGGGCTATTACGCTTATCACCCCGTCCACTGAACACACTGGCTGGGACTGATGGGAATTGTTATCCGAAGCTTGTGGAGGGCACCCCAGACAAAGAAGGTCGGGAGTAAGCCCTATTGAATTCAGTGGGGAACAGGATGTTGCTGTATGTGATGAAGTTACAGAGCGTGACGTTTATTTAGTCTCATAAGCATCTTGGTAGGATCTCAAGATGCCTCTGTATCTCCCTTTAATCTGAATCCGTAAGCAGTCTCAGAGCATTGAATTGTCTCTAAAAGGCCCTCTTGTGTCCAGTGTGGGTATGGTCAGGAGTTGGAAGCATGAATAATTCATCTTAAGAGAAGCAGCCCCCACTGCCACCCAAAATGGAAAGTGCATAGATGCTTTTGGTTATCTTTGGGTGGACTAGGAGCCATGTGGATCTAAGTCACTGCTCTTGTTTGGCAATCCTGCAATGTTTGTTGCTTTGTTTTCCTTTCTTTTCCTAGGCTGCTGCTTTTTATTGCACTCCTGGTGTTTGTACTTCTTGCATGGAATCGTTTTCCTGATTTACTGATCTTTCCCTGGTGTTGTAAATGCTGCACAATAAAAAGACTAAAAAGCAAAATAGCAAGGCAGGGAAATAACAAGGAAAGGGCACAGTAGTGTGGATGTGCAGGACTTGTGCAGCCTGAAGCTTAAGGAGTGCCTGGAACATGGGACTGTGTGTGTTTATGTGCGCACACATACATGCATACGGGAGTAGAGCTGCCCTGCCACAACCCAGTTGATGTGCGCTGCTCACCAGATTTCCCCATTTCCGTCCTGCTGAAAAGGTGTGTCTCCCTTGGGTGCAGGGAGCGCGAGCGCCGAGAGCGGGAGCAGCGCATCCAGGCCGCCCAGGAGTGGGACGTCCGGCAGCGGCTGCAACGGGAGCGAGAGCGGCTCTACCTGCAGCGGCAGCGGCTGCAGCGGGAGCGGCTGGAGCGGGAGCGGCTGGAGCGGGAGAGGATGCACATCGAGCAGGAGAGGAGGCGGGAGCAGGAGCGCATCCAGCGGGAGCGGGAGGAGCTGCGGCGGCAGCAGGAGCAGCTGCGCTACGAGCAGGAGCGCCGCTCTGCTCTGAGGCGGCCATACGATTCTGATGGCAGGTGAGCGGGCTGGGCTGGGGCCCAGAGGAAAGGGGTGTCTTGCAGGGACGGGGGCTACCGTGGCAGCTGCCCATTTTTCAGGAGTGAAATGGTTTGGAATCTACAGTTGCATGTGGAACGGGGAGCAGATGTAGATATGCCTGGTTCAGAGTAACTCTCTGGCCGGGGTGTGTGCCCATCCATCATCTCTCTTTCAAAAGACTCTTACCTGAAATCTTGATTTCCCTCTTCTAGTAGGCTCCTGCATCCCCTCTCCTTGACATTGTGCCTCTGTGGAGCCTCTACCCATCCTAGGGCAGTTTGCCCAAAGTGCCTGCCCCGCCTCCGCAAGCCAGAACATAGCACGGCCACAGGGTGTTGCTACCGAAAGAGACCGCCCTTGAAGAGAGGATGCTGCGAGAGCAGAAGCAGCATGCACTGAGTACTGCAAGTGTCCTCACATGCCCAGGCTAAGAGGATGGGAGGGCATGCATACTTTTAAGCAAATAAACACGGGCACATACTCTGGGTGGCTAGTCAGGACTTTTCATCACTGTTGGAATGCCAAGCAGGATGCCCCTCTTGTAAGGGTCTGTCTCCTTCCTTCCTACTTTCCCACCCTCCCCCGTCCCCCTCCCCTTTTGTAAGGTGCGGCTTAAATATCTCTTGACCATAACAGTTTAAAACCAAAGCAGCCATTAGAAATAAAAGCCTTCAGTGAGTTGTTCAATACACTGTCCCAGCAGGCGTGACGATTCTTACTGGCCAGAGCCAAAGCGGATGACCGTGGATGACAGATACCATTCTGACTTCAGTCGACAAGACCGCTTCCACAGCTTTGACCACAGGGACCGCAGTCGGTACCCGGACCATCCAGTGGACAGGTAAGGCTGCCTCCCCTGGCTGCAGTGTCAGTGGAGGCCATTGCAGTGCGCATTGCGGGAGGGGGTCTGGGTCTTTTGGCGTCACTGGCACGCTGTCCTGGGCAGCCCTTTCAAAGGACTGGATGGGTCCGCAGGAGCGCAGGTACATTTGGTTAAGGATTCTTATCCTGGCACCTCCAGTGAAAAGGGGCAGGTAGCAAGCAGTGCGGAGAAGCCTTTCTCAGCAAGAAACGCTGGAGAGCAGCTGTGGATCCTTTTTGCTTTTCACGCCTATGGTATTAACTTTCTACCAAAAAATCCACTTTACTATATTCTAAGTCTCATATAAATGTCATCAGTATACTTCAAAATGCAAAGTGTGAACCTCCCATTCACGTACTACGAAAGCAGAGAAGGCGTAATGGCTTCATTTCTCCCTAAGCCATAAGTCTTCACATCCCTGATAGATTGAATGGTGATTGTGTGATGTGTCCAGGTGTAGGTAGCATTTTGAGCGTTCTTAGCATCCAGGTTATTCCATTCCAACCCTTGACCAGTTCTCTCTTCAGAAAGCTGCAGGTGTAGTGCTAACACTTTTCCTGTTGAGTTATCCTCAGGCAAGAAGATGCATCTCCAAAGCTTTATCCATTTATGCATATTAATACGGAATTCTTCTCTGCCTGTCTCTCCCTTCCCTCCTTCAGGAGAGAGAGCTCCAGGACAGTACCCGATCGAGATGGACAGGTAAGTCTCTGTTATCTGGTATGCCCTTTGCTGTGCCCCAGAAGGCTCCAGCAGGAGTCTGTGGTATTTTCTGCAACCTGGTACCCCCTGGAGGGACTTGACTGCAACTCCCAGAATTCCTAGCCATGACCATTGTCCTATGTCCCTTCTCACATCTATTCAGTAGTTTGCACTGCCGAAGCAAGGAGTGTTTTTTCTTCCTCTGACTTCGCATAATGCTCCTGCCTTCTCACACAAATTTAGTTTCATTTCAACTACTTTCACTTTCCACTTTTTCCACTTCAGAGCTTCCCACAATTACATTAAAAACAGTGATAGCAATAACCAAATTGACAGTTGCATGACAGTAAAATAGCAAGACCCCAGGAAGCAAAGCATAGCAAAAGCTTATAGCAGACGGGCGAGCACAACCAGGGCAGCAGCGTGTTGAAGCCCAGCAGCCCTGTCTTTGGCTCTCAGCCAGGGAGTCCACAGTTGCCCTTGCTGATTGTAACATTTGCTTGGCATGCAAACAAGGCATTGTGGATCAGGTAGCAGAATTGACTCTCTCTTCATCCCCAGTCAGGTTTGGGTTCATTGGCATGCACATTTCCTTTGCTGTGGCTCTCCAAAATGGGTTCACCACTGACCAAGGCACAAATGTATAATCATAATCTGTCCATTCACAAAAGAGCAAGCATGGTGCTGTTCAATGGAGCTGATTTGCCTGGCCGGCTATATGCAGTCGAGCAGCAAGAAGGCATCAGGGTGGCATGAACAGCCCCTGGGGAGAAATGCCTGTGGTGGCACTTTTAGGGCTGACATGGAACTTCCTCAGGTGGGCAGTCAGGTGATAAACCGCACCTTGTTCTGAGCCATGGTAACAAAGGCGGTGGGGACCCATCTGCTGGCTCTGTCCACCTGTCGGCACAGCCACCCTGCTCTTCTAAGGCTGAGGGTTTGCATCGCACAGCTTGCTCTTCAGTTTGTGGAGCCTTCCCTTTCAGCGCTATCCTGATGAACGACACGGAGGGCCCGACCGCCACTCCCGGGACTCCCGGGACAGCTGGGCAGGTTACGGATCAGAGAGGAGGTTAAGCAAAGGACATGGATTGCCACCCCCGTCCCGGTGAGTGTGTCACAGGGGACAGTCATGGGCTGGGTGTGATGCGCTTTCCAGAATGTGGCTGGGGGGAGTGGGCAGGCATTCCTAGTACCACAATCCAGAAAGTCTGAATAGTTTGCTGAAGAGGGAGAAACGGAATCTAGGGGTGTGTTCCAGAATGGCTCGCGAAGATCCATCACTAAAGGAGAAGGCCGTAGGAGACAAAAGTGGGGGGACAAACTCGGGTGCTGGTCCTGAGTGAAAAGTCCTTCCATGCCAGCAGATTGGAGCTGAAGGTTTCTGGTTTCTCAACAGAGCAAAGGGTCTGGCTCTGTTTCTCTTCTCTTGCTCTGGCCCAGTGAAGTGGCTGTTGCCAAGTGGTGGTTGATGAAATGAGAAGCCCCACAGAGATGGCTTCCCCGTAGAGCTCATGGCTGCCCTATTTCTCTTAGTGTCTTCTTCTAGGGCCAAATGTACCAGTTGCTGCTGACTGGCAGCCACAGACACATCTCTCTGAGTTTCCCTCAGTCACCCTTTAAATTGTCTAAACTGCTGACCATCCCCATGTCTTATGGACAGTGATGTCCCTGAATTTTAATTACATGTGTGAGGAAATTATTCCTACTGTTCCAAAATCTGCCTTGCATTGCACAGCTTTTTCCTTTGCACTGTGTATTTACCATACAGTCCTGATCCCCCTGCCCCATTTTGTGTAGCTCAAGTACTGAAGTAATTCAGTTACGAGGAAGTGGGAGGCAGAGTTTGGACCTAAACATTTCATTCTCCCTGTTATATCATCCCTGATAGTGGGGCATTATCTGATTTGTCTGCTAGGAGGCAGTTCTTTTGATGAAGGACTTGGCTGGGTTGGTCTAGGACAGGGGTCGGCAACCTTTAACACTCAAAGAGCCATTTGGACCTGTTTCCCTCAGAAAAGAAAACACTGGGAGCCGCAAAACTCTTTGACCTCTAAAATGAAGATAACACTGCATATATTGTTTTTTACCTTTATGCTGTGTATAAAAAAAACTATAGTGTGTTGCATTTATGAAACAGATTGGGGGCTGTGGTGTGCCGGCGCAGGTTGCACATCGGAGGCTGTGAGCGATGGAGCCGCAGCAGTGTGATTCAAGAACCACGTGCGGCTCCGAAGCCGCGGGTTGCCGACCCCTGGTCTAGGAGGTCCATCCCAGTTCCTCATGGGGGGCACTCTTCTTTTCTGCTTCCAGATGTCTGCCCCAGGAAAAGTGATGCTACATGCAGGATAACCTTGCACTGTGGACCGTGTTATCCTGTTCAGGGTTCTCAGGGGTAAAACCTAAAAGGCCATGCCCACCCAGCTGTTAAGATCTGGGTAGGAGGCACCTCTGAAAAAGCCATTCCTCAAGTAGGTGAGAGGGATGGTAAATGGAAGAAGGGACTTTTTGGTGCCTGCCCCCCACCTATGGAAGAGCTTTCACAAAGATATTAACCTGGTGCCAATGCTATTTGTTTTTCAGTGCCAGGCAAAAACATTTTTCTTATCCACTCATTTTAATAATTGATTTTAGATGCTTATTAATTTTATTGGGATTTTAGTCAATTAGTATGGGTATCCATCTCACCTTGATGTGTTTTAGAATAACCTTTGTTACATTATTAATTTAACAAGGACTAATAAATTTGTTGTTTATATTTTAATGATGGTTTTTAATGTGTTACTGCACATCTGTAATTTTCTGCTTGTTGTATGCCACGTACGAGAGTCTTTTTGGACTACTTGGCAGCTTATAAATACAAAAAAAAAATTAATAAAACCTGAGCTGTGCGTGCAGATGTTGCCAGTCCTGTGCCTGGCAGCATCTCCAAGGAGCGCAGTGCACTGACCCCCCCCGTGGGGTTTTCCTTTTCCCCATCCAGAGATGGGCGCGACTGGGGGGATCACAGCCGCAAGGTCGAGGGGCATCAGGATCGCTCATGGCCGAGTGATGTGGATGGTGGGATCATTGGACGGGATCATGAAAGATGGCAAGGTAGACATCTGCATTCTGCTTACGCATCAGCCTTGTGATGATCCTCCTCTCCCACTCTTAAGAATGTTATTTCTTGACACGTTCAGATGGCACAAGTTAGCATAGTGTTCCTGGAAGTTTTTCTGTCCGAAAAGGATCCTTGCCCCCCCCCCCCCCCCCCCGCCCATGAGTTCAGGTCTGTAGGCAAAAGGGTCCAGGGTATAATGAGGTTCGCATTCCCAATCCATGAGCATATAGTACAGTGCTTATTTTTCCTGAGAGTGTTAAGGTTAGAAGTCCAGGGTTGACTCCTCATGCTTTTTACTTGGCCAGCAGGCAGTCCCAATCTTGGCACACACCTGCTTGATACAGTTGCAAATGGAAACTACTTGGAAAGGCACTGGCTTTTGCTGTCATGGCCAAGATCCCCACCAGTTTTGCCAGAGACCAGTTCTTAAGCAGGGAGCCCTTCTTAGAAGCAGCTGCAGATCATTGGTAGAACCCCAGGCTGTGCACAAGCAAGGTTCTAAATCCAGTCTGTGGCATCACTGCTTTAAAAAGTGCCTTGGAGAGCCATCCCTGGCCTGGGTAGCCCATTCTGGGCTCTGTGGACAAGCACGCCTGAGTCTATTGAGTAGATGCTTCCTTGTTCTCCTCGACACATCAGGAGGCAGACCACAGGGCCATGCAGGATTTTATGGGCACAGACCTGCATAAGCCTTCAGAAACCTATTGCAGAACCTGGAGGACCCATCCTTGGAGAACGTTCTCCTGGTGGTTCCACATGGACCTTTGGCTTTACCAGAGTCTAGTAGAAGAAGAAACTTCAGTGTGGCAGCCCCACATCTGTGCCAAGTCAGGCAAGCACTGGCACAATTCTGGGAAGCATTCTTTGCTGACCTGCCCTGCTTTTCATGTTCTGTTTTTAATGCATTATTTCTTTGGGTTTTAATCTCCTCTTTTTCCTTGCATTGTTCAATACTGACATCTGCCTAGACTTTGAGACCAATTCTGTAAATAAAGCAACAAGTCAATGAAATCATCCTGAGTCCCCACTCAGAGGGTTTAAAACAAAACATGAAGAACAAGAATTTCTTTGTTGGCTGACTGTCCCTTTTCCTTTTCCTTTGCTAGGTGACAGGAGCATTTCCAGCCAATCAGGGCCTGGCCACATAATGAACAGAGGAGGAATATCAGGGTAAGAGGAGACTTAAAGGGTTTCACCATTTCCATTCCCATCTCCCAGATTCTCTTCACCAAGAACTCAATTTCACAGAACCTCAGGTCACTGCTGAAGTTGTACCATCTTGGGAGAAAAATGTGTCACGTTTCCAGTGAGCTGAAAAAATGCGCAGTACGGGCCACCCTTTGAATAGTTTCTCCATAGGTTGTCTTTTCCTCCAGGCATCCTTTTGGCTGTTTGTGTGATTTTATCCTGGGGACCTGTGTGAGCTTCCTTGCTGGACTCCAGATCTGCATGGGTCAAGACAGGTGTTCCAGGGAAACTAGCAGGGATTCATTCTGTCACCTCAACCCCCTGCCCCATTGCTTGGCTCCTCCAGGAAGATTCCTTAATTTAGGGAGGGTTGAATTGTACTCCCTAGCTCTCCCGGCAGAAAACTTTGGATGGCTCTGTCCCTTCCTTGCTCCTGTTGCCTTGCCCAATTTGACTCTGCAGGAGCCAAATCGGACAGCAGTGTTTCAGTCCCCTTCATGCACCTGTCCGAGACCACGAGAACTGCTTCCCTGTGGCGGGGTCCCATGTTGCCGGTCCAGCCACACGGGGGCAGCCAAGGATGTGGGTTTCCCCCAGGCAAGCAAGTACCCTTTCCCAGAGTAATTGCCCAGCTTGCTCCCATTTCGTTGACATGTCCTTGCATTCTGTATTGCAAGAACCAGCCCAAAGTGCTTCCATTTTCACACTTGTGCTTCTCAAGGTGGGCAGTCTCTTTTCTGCTCTGAAAGCTGCAGAAGTGCAAGTATAGGATGATGGTTGTGGGTTTTATACAGGCAAATTTCAGCCACAAACATACATTTCAGTTCTCACAGCCAGATTCTGTGCACGCTTGCTTAAGAATGCTGGATGTTGTATAACCTAAGCAGAAAGTTACCTTTTGACTTTTGCCCATAGGCGTGGAGGGTTCATGCAGGGTGGAGCCCAGAACCCAGTGGCGCAAGGAGCTAGTCTGCAAAGCAGCTTTGCTAGCCAGGATAGAACGAGTCGACCCAGCGACCCTCGTTTCACCCGGCGCTACTGAATGTTCTTCCATTTTGAATGCTGTGTGGCCACCGCATTGAATTTTGTTCCCTGGTCATCGTCGTGAACATTCACTGCTGAAACAGGAAATCACAGCACCCTCCCGTAGCTTGCACCCAATGTGAATTCAAGTGTGTGTGTTTGTACTCCCCAGGCCAAATATGTTATTCTCTGGATACTGCTCGATTGTTTCAGAGGAAACATTCCATTTTCCATAAACAATAAAGCTGTATTGTATTGTGCTTCTCCTGATGAAGTCTCTGGTGCTGATGGGCTGAGTTGCAGGAATGGGCCAAAGGCTCAGAGAATGTTAAAGCCTTCACAGCCCATCTGCCACAAGGGAAGAGAAAGTTGTCATTCTGGCTGGGATTAAAGTCTTCCACTGCATGGCTGAACAGTAGGAATAGGTTTTACGTGTTTGTAGGAGTTCAGAGGCTGAAGTGAGATGGTATGGACAGTGATCCAAGAGAGAACACCTTGACAGAAAGGTTAGGCAGGGAATGCAGCATGGAAAGAAGGACAGAGAAAGTTAAGGAAGTTGTGGCAACAGGATGCCCCACATAAGAACAGGAGAGCGCGCTTTCCTTGCAGGGAGGTAGATGACTGAGGGACTGGGTGGCTAAACAGCTGGATGTGGCCTGGATAGGAGGAAACAAAGGGGTGGAAATAATGTGGGAAGGTTTCCTCAGCTCAAGACTGCCTTCTCAGACTGTCCGTATTTCCACAAGGTGTTTGGCAGAGGAGGGCCCCTGTCCATCACCTGCTACTTTATTGTTTACGTTGTTTAGTCGCAAAGTCGTGCCCAACCCATCGCAACTTCATGGACAACATTCCTCCAGGTTGTCCTGTCCTCTGCCATCCCTTGGAGTCCACCCAAGCTCACACCCACTGCCCCAATGACTCCATCTAGCCACCTCATTCTCTTCAGTCCCCTTCTCCTTTTGCCATCAATTGTTCCCAGCATGAGGGTCTTCTCTAGTGAGTCCTTCTCAATAGCTGGCCAAAGTATGTGAGTTTCACCTTCAGTATCTGACCTTCTAAAGTGCAGTCAGGGTTGCTCTCCTCTAAGACTGACTGGTTTGATTTCCTTGCAGTCCAAGGGATTTGCAGGAGTCTCCTCCAGCACCACAAATCAAAGACCTCAATTCTTTGGCACTCAGTCTTCCTTATGGTCCAACTTTCACAGCCATACATTACGACTGGGAAAACCGTAGCTTTGATTATATGCACTTTTGTTGGCAGGGTGATACCTCCGCTTTTTGGTATGCTGCCTAGATTTTCCATAGCTTTCCTCCCAAGGAGCAAGTGTCTTTTAGTTTCTTGGCTGCAGTCCCCATCTGCAGTGATCTTGGAGCCCAGGAAAATAAAATCTGCCACTACCTTCATTTCTTCCTCATCTATTTGCCAGGAAGTGAGAGGAACTGATGCCATGATCTTAGTTTTCTTGATGCTGAGTTTCAAGCCAACTTTTGCGCTCTCCTCCTTCACCCGCATCAAGAGGCTTTTTAGTTCCTCTTCAGTTTCTGCCATTAGAGTGGCATCATCTGCATATCTGAGGTTGTTGATCCTTCTCCCAGCAATCTTAATTCCAATTTGTGGTTCATCCAGCTCTGCCTTTCTCATGATGTGCTCTGCATATAAGTTAAACAGGCAGTGGGACAATATGCAGCCTTGCCGTACTCCTTTCCCAATTTTGAACCAATCAGTGGTTCCATGTCCAGTTCTCACTGTTGCTTCTTGACCCGCATATAGGTTTCTCCCATCATCTGCTACTTGGTTCTGGGATAGATTGTGGCGAATAGAGCCATGTAGATACACCTGCAGTGAGCCACCATCTGGAACATTTAATTTCTAAAGTGTGTGTTTTGCTCATTAGCCCATACTCTGCTCCTAAAAGCCCTTAGGATAAATGAAATATGAAATTAATTGGAGTGGGGGATGTAAAAACATTAGTCTGCAGCAACAGAAGTTAGGCTTTAAATTTAATTTTCCACACTGTCCATCAGCCAAGATGGCTTTCTGGGAAGTTTACAAAACATAATACCCAAACATACAATGAAACAGTGATACTAAATCTATGTTCATTCTAGGTAATAACAATAAAACCCCACAGCAGTCATAATTTAGATTAAACCAAAGGTGCAATAGCACTAAAATACAATAACTACCATATCTTTAAAATTACATTAACTATTAAAATAGTGGGCAAATAAAAAAGATTATTGCCTGGCACTGGAAAGAGTAGAAAGAGGGTGCCAGGTGAACCTCTCTGGGGAGTTGATTCCAAAGTCGGGGTGCCACCACTGAGAAAGCCCTTCCCCTTGCAGCCACCCTCTTAGTTTCCTTCAGAAGGAGCTCTCTTGACCACCTTAAGATACAGGTAGGCTTATATGGAGAGAGGCGATCCCTCAGACCAGTGGTTTCCAGCCTTTCCACAGCTGGGGACCCTTGAGTACAGGAAAACCACCTCGGGGACCACTGGGGCAGAAGCAAAAAGCACCATACAACCATATGCATAATACAGTATTCTGTGTATTAGTTTCCAAACAATACCAAAAAGGAAATTCTCCAAAACAACCAGAAACCAAGCAACAAAAAATGCCAACGAAAGAACAAGATACTGAAATCAGTGCAGCATGGCTCCCATCTGGCTCCCACGGAACTGTGCCTCCCTTTCTTGCCCCCCCGGGAGCACTGGTGCACCCCCCACAAACATGATGCTACCGAGGAAGAGGTGGTGGAGCATAGCCAGCCCTCACACCAGTTTGTGGCAAGTGGGATGTGGCCCCCACCCACGGACCAGAAGAAAATCTGTGGACTGGCACCTGAAAACCACTTTTAGATAACCTGGCCCCAAATCATTTAGGGCTTAAATAACAATATTAGAACTATGAATCAATTGGTAAGCAGTGAAGCTGATAGATGACTGAGGTACAGGTTCATATCATCCAGTCCTCGTCAGCAGCCTTGCTGCCCTATTCTGAACCAGGAGGTGTCTCCAGACCATCTTCAAAGGTAGCCTCATGGAGAGCGCATTACAGTAATCCCAGCCAGAGGTTACCAGAGCATGGATTAATGTTGGTAGGTTCTGTCTGTCCAGATAGGCTCACAGTTGGTGAATCAGCTTAAGCTGTCAGAAGGTCCTCTGGAACATGATCCCACAACATACCGTGTTTCCCTGAAAATAGAATCTAACCAGAAAATAAGCCCTAGCATGATTTTTCAGGATGCTCCTTATATAAGCCCTACCTCCAAAATAAGCCCCAGTTAAGATTGTCAGCCAGATGGATGGGGAAACACGATAGTAGGTCCGTTGCAACACACGATAGATGTATTGAATTATCAAATAATAAGATTAATATATAATTAAATATAATAATACTTAAATGATAATATAATTGTTGTCGCTAGTCGCGAAGTCGTGTCCAACCCATTGGGACCTCATGAACAACATTCCTCCAGGCCCTCCTGTCCTCCACCATCCCCCGGAGTCCACCCAAGCTCACGCCGACTGCTTCAGTGACTTCAAACGCCTATGTAAACAGATGAATGTGAGACTTCTTGCAAATGACCAATCAGAGTACAGTGTGAGGTTCTGGGGCAGCACCAGGGCTCCCCCTTCTGTCCAGGGACCAATATAGCAGCTCAGGTCCTGCAACCACCCTGGTGCTGCCCCAGAACCTCACAGACACAACACAATAATAATGTTGTGTGTTGTAATGGACATATTTAATGCATGGATGCAAAATGTAGGATGGCTGCAAAAAGAAAGAGCTATTCTGTTGAGTACCAGAAAGGAATCATGGAGGACTCTCAGGGCAAGAATCTTAAGGCTTTTGTAAGAAAAAAAATAAGACATCACCTGAAAATAAGCCCTAGTGTGTCTTTTGGAGCAAAAATTAATACAAGACCCAGACTTATTTTTGGGTATTAGGTCCTGGTCAGAATGGAAAATGTTGACTCTTTTTGCCCTCCATCTCCCATCTCCCAGGACCAGTATTGCACATGGTGGGCATGTCGTGAGTGGGGCCAGCTGGAGCCACAGGTCAGACTATATGGCCTGGGAAGCCGCTTCTGACTCGCTTTATTTCTATGTTTCTATATGACCAGGCAGCTTCAGAGGGGGAGCTGCAACTCCAGCCTCCACCCACCCACCCTTGGAGCTCACTGTCAGTTTTGAGGTGGAGTTCTAGAGCTCGAACCTTCAGGGGCTTTTTAAAAATTTAAGTCCAGCACTTTGAATTGTGCCCTGAAGCAATTTCGTTTCTTATATTTCCCTTCAGCCAAATGCATCCAAAAGAACGTCAGTCATCATAAATCCAGCAATGAAGTATCAGTCAAAGTAGATTAAGGCAGCATCTGAAAACCCTGAGCATTTTTTAACACTGCCCTTCACCCAGGCAATTCTTTCTGGGGGAAGGAGTTCTGTAAGAAGGGCTCCAACCAAGGAAAGACCTTCTTCCCCACTTGCTTCCTGCCTTCCCAGTGTTGGTGACCTCAGTGAGAATGTGGAAGTTAATGCTAACCCTGGAAATTTGCCCAATTTCTGAACGCTCTTCAAAGGCAGGCCTACTATAAAGCATGCATTCTAGTTGTCCAAGTAGGAAATTCACTGAGAAGGTGAGAATTTCCGGAGAAATGTTATTCCCATCCAGAAAATGTTATTCCCCCTCTTCTAACATAGAAAGCTAAAGCTGTGCATGCAGTCAGACAACGTGGGCTTCAAAGAGTTTGGACTGATATCAACACCTCTGCTTTTCAGGAGGTCTTTGAGACCTTGCTGGAATTTGGTTGTCATCTTCACCAGGGCCTTTTGTAGAATTGGGACTATGACTTGAATGCTTCCATGTTCCATCTTGAATAATTCTGTTCAGTTACAGGCCTCATTTGGTAAGGCTCACTCCATCCCAGGGCTTGCTTTCTCCCATCCAAGAATCCTGGAATTTTCTAGGATTTGTGAAGTTGAAAGTAGGCTTGGATTGTGGGGAAAAGAATGAATTGATGCTATCTATGAAGACACTGCAAGTGGCAAATACGTAGCAGATGAGATTCCAGGCCAATAGCTGATATCTCTCGCCAGGGCTTAGAATGGAAGAATAGACTGGGAGTCCCTGGGTAAAATTTAGTGTACACGGAGACTGACTTTGGTCCTTCAGGTTTCCCCAGAAGGTTACACAGATCTTCTCCCTAGCCATTGGTGTTTTTCTGTCTTGCACAGTTTCCTTCCTGTTCTGAATGCCTC